AAAAAAAAAGCACAAAAAAATAAAATTGCAAAAAACGACAAAAAAATGAAAAGAATTAAAAAAGGATTAAAAAAAAAGGAATTAAAACAAAAAGGACTAAAAAAAAGAATTAAAAAAAAAAAACCACCAAACTCCTCAGGCGCGTCACAATTCAAACGCCCGACCTAGGGCATCGCCACACCACTCTCGAAATGTGAAAAAGACAAAAATGTGGCGGGTGCATCTGGCCATGTTGTAGTGGGACTTTCATTCTCATTTTGCACATTTTCAAGAGAAGTGCAGTGAGGCCCGTAGCATAAAAAAAAAAGCAAAACCAAAACGAAACAGGACTCGCCCGAGAGAAAAACAAACACAACGCGCCTGACGCGTCTGACGCGTTTGGCGTTTGTTTTTTTCTCGGGAGTCCGGTTCCGTTTCGTTTTTGCGTTCTCTTTTATGCTATGTGCCTCACTGCACTTCTCTTGAAATACGGACAGATACACGGCCATGATTTTTGTTTTTTGTGGATGTCGAGAGTACAGAATACGGACAGTGTATCTGTCCGTATTTCAAGAGAAGTGCAGTGAGGCCCGTAGCATAAAAGAGAACGCAAAAACGAAACGAAACCAGACTCCCGAGAAAAAAACAAACGCCAAATGCGTCAGACGCATCAGGCGCGCCGCATCAGGTGCGTCAGAATTTCACATCGGACGTCTCACGATTCGCAACTTAGTCACTCGCGCGTCAGAATTTTACATCGGACGTCTCCACGGAAAAACACTAACGTGGACCATCGCAGACGCGAGAGTCGCCTCCGCGGCCGAAAAGTTTTAGGAGAGTGGTTTGACAAGAAGAAAAAAAAACGATCAGAGCACAAAATTTCCTACCAGTAATGTTCTCGCATACCGTGCATGCCTCGACGGTTCGGGTAACACAGACAACAGGAGTGAAAGATGGAGAAGAAGCCACGACCGCAGTGTTCATGACCACATTCAATGGTCGTGGTAGTCGACACATGACTGAAATTAATCAACAACATGCAAACATAAGAGCACACCCGTAAGCATATGGGTAAAGGTCGTACTCATCACACAATTTTTTTTTAACACGGGTTGGGGTCCGACTCATCACACAAGCTTTTAACACCGGTTAATGCACCAGTACCTTTGTCGGTAAAATAGTTAGCCTCCGACCTTTCAGGAGGAGGCGGAAACGAAACAACGGCCACCGATCAGATTTATCAACGGCAGCCGTTGTCGGGCCGGGCCCGGCCTCCTAAAATTTCGGGACTAGGCTAAGACTTGTCGAAACCGGACGGCAAAGGTACTAGTGGTTTAAGGTCTAATTCATCACACATGCTCATAACGCAGGTTAACGCCTCACTCATCACAGAACTTTTTTAACACGGGTCGAGGTCTAAATCAGCGCACAAGATACCTTTCTCTGCCTTTTGGCTAAAAATAGATAAAGTGTAATATCTGTTCTGATCAGTTTAATAAACTTTTATATCTAAGAGCATGCTCACAGTAGGCCCTCAAACTCACAAAATCACAACATGAACGGCCAGATCGAGTCCCTGTAAAACGAAGGACTAGATCTGGCTGCTCATTTTGGGAATTTGTGATTTTGAGGGCCTGGTGTGAGCATGCCCTAACTTGTCACACATTTTTTTAACATGGGTTAAGGTTTGACTCGTCACCAAAAAAAAAAAAAAAGTTTTTAACATGGGGTTACTTAAGCATAAAAAAAAAAAAAAAAAAAAAAAAAAAAAAAAAAAAAAAAAAGGGCTCAGTGGTTAGAGCACCTGTTGGAAATGCACATTGTGGTATGAGGTTGCAGGTTCAAAACTCGATTGCAGCCTAGCGTATGGACACCGGCAGGGCGTTCGAATGACGCGCGGCTGGACACGCATTCCCTTGGGCGGACGCACGGTAAGCTTATACAGACACTGCCTGCGCACCACCCAAGGGTTGTCCATGGTGTTGTATGCCGGGTGTTGATACTGCGTGGGTTGCTTGTGGCTGTTGCTCATGGTTGTTCTGTTGATCGCCCCAGTCTGGCATATCACACACAGGGGCCGTTTGCGATTGTTGCTCAAATGGTAGAATCTTCAGGTCGCATGTCAGAGATCTCGGGTTCGAGTCTGGCTTGGGACTTTGGGGGGGGGTCTTGCCCAGCTTGGCCTGTCATCTCTTCAAAACGAACACATAGTTCCCTCTACATAGTGCTGCACATATCCGGCCTTCGGGCACATACATCTCGCTATACAGTTACACAGAGCACGCATAGCCTTCGGGCAGATACAAAACACATGGCCATATGGACTCGTACAAACATACATAGCCTCTGGGCACATACACATACACACAACTACGATACTGGGCTGGGGGGGTCTATCAGGTATATGACAGGGTCTACTCACGCGTGGGGGGTCTATCAGGTATATGACAGGGTCTACTCACGCGTGGCTTAGCTCTAGGGTAGGGTAGGGATATAAGTTGCTCCGGCTAGTCTGAGTTCCGCCTAGCCTTAGGTAAGCTAGGGGAAGGACGGTAGGATGTGTCCACGGGCGCTGGCCTGCCTTGCTTAGGAATCCTGCTGGGTAGACTCTCTGAATTGGGCCTGTAGAAGATTGCATGAGCCTGTCGTCCGAAGTTCCCGTACGGCAAGGTTCGTCCGGTTCCACTTCCATCAGGGCTGGGAGGTTGGCCCAGCCTTGGTGCTTGTCACTGCTGTCTGGTCCAAGTTGCCCTCGATACTGGTGGGGTGATGGTCCTGAGTGCTGGTCACACTGAGGTAGGATAGTAGGGACAGGGGGTGCGCTAGGAGTATTAACTGGGGATTGGTAGGGTAGGTGGTCTATCCTGTCACGACAACCATTGGCTGCCGCTGCCAGCAATCACCGCGGGTCTGGTCCTTGGCCTCTACAACACCCTGGGCTTAAAAAAAAAAAAAAAAARACCCTACYCATCACAAAAAAAAAAAAAARACAAAAACAACAGACCCTACTCATCACACAAGTACACATGGGCTAATAAAGAGCTCCCTCCGTATGATGCCAGAAGTTCAGCGGTGAAAGCCTTTTTTTTTTTTTTTTTTTTTTCCCCAAGTAGGTGCTAGGGGCGCTGATAAGAGCAGACGCCACTAGCAATGCCCAGGAGGCTCGAAGGTGCACTTTGTTTTCGGTTTAATAATCCGTTGTAAGTCAAAAAACTTTGCAGCCACTGCGGCGGCGGCATTACGACTGTCTACGCCGCTCCTCCAGTCCTCCCCCAAATGTGAACGTCATTATCTTTTTCTCATTCTTATGACGCATTCCGGCAAGAGCATTCTTTCACATCTTCCACACTCCGCAAAACAAGCAATCTCCCTCACCCTGGTAGGTCTCCCTCTTGCACCCCTCCTATTACCACAGCAGATTGCCAAATTATACCATGCAGCAACTACCAACTGGAAAATACTCCAGACTCCCTAGTTGTTGTTGTTGCTGTTTTTTATAATTTGGACAATTTTCTCAATTTATGTGTGTCGTCCTTGCGCAGGGGCCATGGTAAACTTCTCTGTATTGTTCCAATTTTAATGGACGTCCCAAAGAACAATACTCCGAAGTTTCGTTTCATCACCGATTCTTCTTCTCCGGATCGAAGTCCTTCTCCATGACTTGCTCCTGCTTCGATGCAAACTGCATGCAAACAGACGACAGAGGGGGAGGATAAGATGCCGCGTCAACAATTTACGATTCCGTATCTGCCCACCTTTACGGGCATCAACAGACAGGCAGTCAATCAATCCATGATTTCCCACCCTTGGTCAAGCAGGTGCAGCTTCCCACCGATAAATAGACTGAAGCGTCTGGGACGAAGCTACTAGCGGAAGATGCTCATATCACTTCCCCTAGTAGCAGGGTGTGTGGACTGGGAAGTAGATAGTGAGATGGACTGTGAAGGAGATGTGGGGGACAGGGATCAACATGAGAAGGGGGCTGGAGGATCGTGTGAGAACCTGATGGCGCTTTCTTTTCAGGGCGGCACCGAGATTGCCGATGTCGTCACTCATCTGCAGCAGGGTGATGGAGACCAGGCGGATGAGTGGGAGGTGGAGCAGGGGTTCTTGGCAGAGGCGGTGGTTGTGATGGAGAAGAGGCAGGGAATGGGCGAGATTGGAGCGAAGGGTGGGAAGGTTGACGACAACAACAACAACAACAACAACAACAACAACAACAACAACAACAACAACGGCAAGCAGCAAATGGCCGAAATCGGCGCGACGGGCGAGGAGGACAATGAACGATGGGGTCACTCATCTGCAGCAGGGAGATGGAGACCAGGCAGATGAGTGGGAGGCGGAGCAGGTGTTCATGACAGAGGCGGCAGATGTGGTGGAGGAGATGCTGGGAATGGGTGAGATCGGCGAGAAGGGTGGGAACGTGGGCATCAACAACAACAACAACAACAACAACAACAACAACAACTTCGACAACGACGGCGAGCAGCCTACGGGTGAAATGGGCGAGACGGGAGTGAAGGATGGTGGCAATAACAATAACAACACTGATAACAACAACGATGGTGAGGAGGGATTGGGCGAAATGGGCGACGAGGGTGTGAAGGACGACACGGCGATAATAACAACAACAATAACGAAAACAACAACAACAACAACAACAACAACAACAACAACAACAATAACAACCACGCCGATGGCGGCAACGACAGTCACGGGAGCAGTGGGGCAGAGAGGCTTGTTGTGCATCCAAGCTGCTGATCAGCATCATGGGGAAGATGTCGCAATCAGCGCAGTGGGGGGGGAGGGGAGTAGTAGCTCATTGAGGTGGGCGAAGTGGGGTTTGTGGTTGAAGGTGCGACTTACTATTTCCTCCCCCCCCCCCTTATCCGGTGATTTCCCATGCTGATCCGTGGCTTCTCTCCTGGCATCATGTAGGGATAGGATAAATGATCTCCCTGCATTAATTAGGGTTGATCGCCTCTTATTTCTCAATCCCTCAACTCTTAACCAGGAAAGGATTGCTGATGATTACCTTTTGACGTTTGGACTTTGATAGTGAGTGTAGGTGCGATATGACAACTATTCACACTATTCACACCATTGTATACGGGATATATGATTCATGGGTTCGTTTTCTGGTTTGTTTGATAGAATTGGGCATGATGTCTCATTTACTATGGTGCTGTGCTAAGGGATTGGGTTTTTCAATCAGGGGACATGTATAGATCGATGAATGAATACAGACAGATTGGATGTTATCTTATGTGGATTTTGCACACATACAGACAGTCTCTGACTGTAGGACATAACTACACTACTGTATAGGGACGCTAGACTCAATTTCCAGTGGACATAATTACACACCACTGAATAGGGACGCTGGACCCGATCTCCAGCGGACACACATCACATCTGTAATACATGTCACATCAAGGTTAGGGTTCCGTCTGATAGATAAGACATACATAGGGAGTTGGAGATATCAACACAGCAGCTCTGCATAGGGACGCTGGACTTGATTTCCAGCAGATATATTCACATCATTGTACAGGGCCGCTAGACCCAATTTCCAGCAGATACATTCACATCATTGTACAATGACTGGACCCGATTTCCGGCAGGTCTAGCTCCCCACCAATAGATGGAGCCTTCGAAGCCGGGACCTACTTACCGGGGATGCTCTTATCACCTTGTTAAGTAGGTTCC